AATCGATACTTTCAAAAAATCAGTCGATAGATCTTTTTAAAACCTACAACTTTCTCATTTAAAATTTTTCAATCCGTGCTATATTTTTTTAGTTATTTTAGAAAAACCGTTTTTTTCAACTTTGCGATTTTTTTTAACCATGTTCGCCATATTGGATCGAGTTTAAAGAACAAGAAACTCAATTTAAAATTTAATTTTCTATACGGTCATATTTTTTTTGTCCCGGTAATAATTTCTGCAAATTTAACATTAATCCGTGATAAAATGCTTGGACTAAGTACGTTTTTCCAAAACTTATAACTGTTGAATATTTTAAAATTTAGATCATCTTACTTTTATTCAAATGCCGCTGTCTCATAAGCTGAAATTTAGCCTTTTGAAGTAGTTATAACCTTTTCCACAGTAAATACACTGAAACTCATAAATCAGCTAATAAAAAATTGACCGCCTTATCTATTCTCAACAATATCAATTGTTTTATTTTTAAATGTTTAAATTGATATTAATCTAAACAAACATTACTACTTAACAAACAATAGTATTTCGCCGTACTAAAAACATCTAACAAAGAATTATTTTACTTAAAACTGAAGGTTTTATATCTTTAACAGATAATATAAAAGTGCCCAAAAACATGTTTTTTTGGTACAAGCAAAGAATAGTGAAAGCAAATTCTATTAAGTAAAAAATAAGATTATCTTCATTTTTAATTAACCTGAAAACTCCCCTATGCTCAATTCCATTGAAATATATGTATATTAAAGAACAAAGAAATTAAATAAAAAAAAATCACATGTATATTTTTTTAATTGCGTATCATTTCAAAGCTAAATATTAAAGTAACTTGATCTAAATCGATTTGAAGTATGACTGATTCGTTCCCAAACACCCTGTGTTTAGGACAAATAAAAATTGAAACTCAAAAAAACTATTTCAAAAATATATAATCATAGTCGTCGAGACGATGTGACTAAAAGCGATGGGTTTTAAGAAAGTTTCGAAAATCAAACATGTTTTTGAAAGGTTAACAACCTGTCATGTGTTAGAGTATTTATAGTATCATCCTGAATAAATATCTGCATTCTTAGTGTGAGATATTTGTAATTACCCATATTTCCTTCCAAAAATAGCAGTAATCTTTAAATTGGATTGGACTGACTAATACCGTGACCGCTCCGGTCTCCTGACTTAATACCAATAGATTTTTTAGTGTGAGGTTACATAGAAAAAAATATATGTATGTATTTCACTGTGGAGAGTAATAGATTATCGTAATAAAAATGTAGTTACGTACTGCTTAGAAAACTCAATATGTTCAATTAGGTTCTTGAAAAAATAGTGTATAATCTTCTCATTGTATTACATAGGCCGACAAAAAAAAATGTTTTTTTATTTGGTTTTTAGATCAGACCTATCATTTCTTATAGATTTTGATGTGCTGAAACCAAATTTGAAGAGTAAAAAAATTTTCATCATTTAGATTTTTTGTAATCGCGGAGACAAGTCTCTCCTATGTACGCGGAGCTCAAATGGCTCCATCTGTCGTGCTGACTCCCAACTGTGCCATTCAAATGGCTACAGTAGGCAGCGACCTGCTATATTGCCAGGTACTTTATTGCACGACTGCCACCCACAGAGGGCGAAACACAATGTTTTAATTCCCAGTGTTGCGAGGAACAACTACTCCGCGGGCTATATGTCTCGACCGGCATTGAATTATACTCGCAACACCTAGTGCAACAGTTTGGATCGTTCGTCAGTTTAACCCACCAGGCACAGACCGGTTTCGGACTTATTAGTCCTTATCAGTGTCGCATAGGTCCAGTCAGAGGTACAGTGTACGCGGAGCTCAAATGGCTCCAAATAGAACAGTTGGGAGTCAGCACGACAGATGGAGCCATTTGAGCTCGTCATACAATGTACCTCTTTGTCGTGAGGATACGGTCGCATAACGGCTGGATCGTTCGTCAGTTGTCTCACCTATAACACACTGATGAGAACTAATAAGTCCGAAACCGGTCTGTTCCTGGTGGGTTAAACTGACGAACGATCCTAGCTGTTGCATTAGGTGTTTCGAGTATAATTCAATGCCGGTCGGGGCATATAACCCGCGGAGTAGTTGTTCTCGCAACACTGGAAATTCAAAAAAGTATCTCCTATATTTAATATGCAGTTATCTCAATACTACCTTTGGTAAATATTAAGAATACCGACCCTATTCCGATTTCAACCTATAATGTAAAAAAAATCACTCAATTTTACTAAGTAATGTATCAATTTCTGTCCACACCCAATTGAATGAAATATTCACTTTATTAGTATGAGTACAACTAAAACTTTCTGATTATTGCAACAGAAGTGAGCGAATTTTACTCAAACTCACTTTTGACTCAATTTGGAGTATGTAAAACCAATTAAAACTTTTTCTGTAATATATAAATTTATTATTGAGTAATTTTGTACTATGAAAATTTCCAGAGGCACCAGCACCAGTCGCCGCTGCTTCCATTTCATTACTATCTGTAGTGATTTTCACCAAAATAACTGGATTAACGGACACTTGGTTAGCACTATACTCCATACACAACGCCACGAGATGACCTAATGGGGACGATGGGAATAGACAAAGTCAACGCACGACAACCATAGAATGGGGTGGGGTCACTCAATAATGAGGACATTTACACCGATTTAGCTACAAGTGTACCAAGTACGAGTTTATTTGCAGAATTTATTTAACGGGTACCTATATTTGAGTGAAAGTACTCAGTTTTAGTTCAAATATTATCACAAATGAGTCAAATTATCAAAATGCTCAATATTGGGTGAAAATGTTCTCAATAATTTCACTCAATGGATTCACCCTGTACCTGTATTTCTTTCACTCGCATCGACTTTTTCACAGTGTAGATGACTAATTTCCTATGTATTTTTATGTGTTGAACACAAATCTGATGTCCAAACTTGGCGGACGGCCCTAGGGCAAAATAGGCAAAAAAAGCATAAACCCAATTATAATGAAACGGTTTGTATCTATTTTTGGGCGCTCATGTCAAAAAATGGCAAAAAGGGCAAAAACTAAATTCTGTAAAAAAATCTCTTAAATATAGCCTAACCGGCATGCGGCAAACCTTCTTAAGGGCCCTACCAAGTTTTTACTACTTCAACAACAAACCTTAGTTGGTACTAGTTAGGTCAGGTTAGGCTATTCTTAAAAAATACTACCTACACGCTTGAGATTTTACAACAAATTTGAACTGAATGCCTTTTTGACATCGGATTTATTGAGCAAATACATAGGAAAACACCTTCCACTTCTTTTTCCAATACAATAGAGTTTTTTCCTTTTTTTCCTCATTTTTGTCCTAAAAAGTGCCGCCCATCAAGTTTGAACATCAGATTCGTTTTCAGCACCCAAAAATACATAAGAAATCAATCACCTAGATTAAAATCGGGATAGATCGGTATTCTTCATATTTAACAAAGGTAATATTGAGATAACTGCATATTCAATATAGTCCAGTTGGTAGAGGTTCGGCTTGTGTCAAACCTTGATAACCCGGAAATAACTACACACCAAATGATGAGTACAATAACAGGCTAATTTGCTGACAAAGTATTTTATCAGGAAAAAAGTTATTAACCATTTAATCGTGAAATTTTTTTTTAGTAGTTTTCTTTAAATAACTCAGCGGGATGACTTTGTACGAAAAAATGCTTAGGACATGATTTTGTTCGTAATAAAAATAGCTACAAAATGGCGGTGGTCCGATCCGAAAAGACTTGTCCCTGCGATTAAAAAAATTTAAACTATGAAAATTAGTTTACTATTCAAATTTGGCTTCAGCACATAAAAATTTGTAAGAAATGATAAGCATGTGTCATCAAATGTAGACTGTCAGATTCCGTATACATCGATTTTAATAAAGCTTTCGATAAACTGAACCACAACTTATTCACAAATTGTATCATTAATGGCTTTCATTCTGCTCCTTTTGTAACTACGCCTGATGTGCCCCAAGGTTCCCATATGGAACCAATGCTTTTTCCAGGACAGCAAATTTTTAACGTCTATGGATAATGTGAAAATATTTTCTGAAATAAACGGTATAGGACGTTAGTCCTATTATATATTGAATATATTGAATTGAATTGATAATAATAATTATATATTGAATAATAATTCAATGCATACATTTTTTCTCAACATATACAAATATTTATTACTTTTACTATGAACATTAATAAGAATAATTTTGACTATAATTTTAATCAAATAACTTTAAAATGGTATTTGATATTAAAGATTTAGGAATTATTTTCAATTTAATTATCATTTAGATTATCCTGTTATAAATGGTAGTAGGATTTAGGTTTCATTATTAAAATTAGCAAATGTTTTAAATCACGAGAGGCTTTAAAAACATGGTACTTTGCATACGTGCGGAGTAAATTAAATTTCTTTAATTTGGTCCTCCCAATATAACATTTACATTGGCAGAATTATCAATTTAGAATGTATTTCTAACATTTTTAGATATTAAAATAACTTAATCGTACAGAAATGAAAGGTTCTAAGACCAAGCTTAAAGAATAATAAAAAGTTTCAAATGCCATGATTTAAAAAAAAATCTGATATGTCCGTTGGCATACATACAAAAAATTCTTGGACGGTAGAGATCTGCTTACACCACTGAATTAATTAGATTTTTTCTCTTAAAATGCAAAAGAAGTTCTCTAAAATGCTTCCATAATCCATTGAGCATCATCTGTATGTTACACTTTGTACAGAGAGGTTAATCTAAAGTAACTTATTTTGTTCTAAAGAATTTCTACAACTACGTTCAGAGATTCATTAGAATACACGGACAAAATGGATGACAATTGAAATTAAGGAAAACCCTAAATAACTTTGTTGACTCTTAACTGATATTATATCTTAAGTTATTTATCGGAAGGGTACCTATATATAAACTCATTTCAACTAGTAGACTTTTGTAGTAATCGTCAAAACTTACTAAAAAATGAAAGTTTCAGCTGTATTCCTATTAGTTGCTACTTCTGCAGTTTTACTGTCTGCTTCTGTGTCAGGTATATCTGTTTTTATTTTATTTCATTTATTTTAAATTCATTATTTCCTATTGTAGTTTTGATGTGTGTAGTATCATATAATTGAACAATTATCCCTAACATATGTTATTTTTTCCGCACTTTCAGCGAAAAATATCGTTTGCTACTTCACAAGTTGGACTGTATATAGAAATGGAAACGGCCAATTCGATGTGGATAAAATAGATCCATTCCTATGTACACATATTATGTTTGGATTTGTAGGTATTACCAATGAAGGGAAAATTAATATATTAGATCACTGGGAATCTGATGACGATGGATTAAGTAAGTACTTTACCTTATAGTTCTTTCTTTAACGACGTATAATACTCACATCCCTAAAACACGTATCTACCTAAAACAGGAGAGATATATATCAGTTGAAGCAGGGTGTTATTTGAAACGTGTTCATAGTGCCATCAGTTAAATTATATTAAAAGGTATAATCCTCATTCTTGTCTCACTCGCAGGTCCATTAGAGAAAAAAATTCAACAGTAAGATATCCCAAATAACAAAGTGATATACATAAATAGACATCTAAATGTCCGCCATAAATATACTACATGCATCGTGTTTTTTCTCTATAAAATGGCGTAAATTATATAAATATTTTAATTACTTCAGTAAATAATTTGTATTTTTTTAACATTTCCCAATGACGCCGAATTTTAAGTGATGATAGTTTAGTTTGGGCGATATTAGATGTATTTTTTATTACGGGTACCTATATTTTAAATGATCTAAAAATAATCAAATTTCTTTCATACTTATACGGTTTTTGGACGACTCTATATGCCTAGTCAACGTGATTTAAATTAATGCGTGTTTTATTGGTTTTCATATTTTCGGTTTATAGGTACTGCTGAAATACGTAAATCACTATTGCTATTCTTATTATGTAGCAACTAGTAAATTTATAGATTAGTAAATTTAAATCACATACCTACTTAGAATGTGCATCTACAGAGTGTAACTAAATTTATTGATTAAACTTTAATAGTGTTTTCTACATTTCAAGCGAAAAAAAAATGTTTATAAATATTATTTCTTTTATTTCTATTATTTTTCTCACGGCGAGACCTGTATATGCCCGCAAACACCTCCTTTCCGAATTATAAAAATATATACAGGCTGATTTTAGTGGCGAATTTTTAATATCAAAATAAGACTTTTTTCCTATAAACGTGGACCCACAAATGCTTAGTTTCGGGTACGATTTTTTTAGGATGCGAAATTTAAATATGTCATTGCATTTGACGCTGCTAGTAGAGGGTGCCACCCTTAAGGTTACACTTGAATTAAACGGGTCGTAACTTTTTTGCTACCCTGTACATTTCGTATTAGTGTGTTTATTCCCCTGTGTTTAAGCAAAAATGGTTGAAATCTCTCAAATCAACCGTTTCCGACGTATTGACTGATGTAGAGTTAAATGCACACCATATTTTCAAATTTTGACTATTTACAGTGAAAAATTCTAAAATTTATTTTGGACTCACGTTTATAGGAAAAATAGTCTTATTTTGACCTCAAAAATACGCCCCTAAATTCTTTGTACTGTTTGAATCAGCCTGTATAGTCCAAGAAAATAAGTAAAAAATGAGCGAACTTTTTTACTCTTTTTTATAGAAAAGTGTAGGTTTTAAGGTCAGAAAACATGTCACACACGCAACCACCAGTAACATAGAGCGTTTTGATCCATACCTAGATATACAGGGTGATTAACTTTTTATGATTAGGACTTGAACCACCGATAGATCTTATAAAAAAATGTCATTTTGAAGTAAATATACAGTGTAGGAAAGTGCCGATGGTCTATCAGGAGTTACGTGAGAGCGATAAAGTAAGCCATAGAAATCTTATCGCTTACTTTATCGCTCTCACATAACTTCTGATAGACCATCAGTACTTTCCTACACTGTATACTTTTTCTTCCAAAGGTTTCCTTTTAGAGATATAAGCTCTTGAAGAAACATTTTTTTTTGTTTTTATTTAATTTTTCTTAAACTATGAAAGCCATTTGTTTTATATTTAGTATGAAGTGTACGATTTTATAAATTATTGTGAAAATAGATCCATCATAGGTGTCCGTAAGGGGTTCTGATAATACCTATTTTTAATATAATTTCTACGCCATTGAAAATTTTTCAAAATGGATATATTTTTTTTACATAGCGCTTTATTCTACAGCAAAAAGATCTCTTACTATTTTTAAATGAAGTGCTTGGTTTTTGAGAAAAACTTATGGATTCATTACAATTAGGTAAACAGGGTAATAATTGAAGTATGTACGACACTATTTAGAAGGGGTCCAAAATATATCAGTTATGTGTTAATAATATTTTAAAGTGACATCTAAAACTATAATTTTTATTTTATTACTTAAAGAAACTGTTGTAGGTGGCACAGATTTGATAAACACATTTCACATGTAATTAATATATAAGAAGCCATTTTTCTCAAAAACCAACCGTTTCATTTAAAAATAGTAAGAGACCTTTTTGCTGTAGAATACGCGGCAATTTAAAAAAATATATTCATTTTGAAAAATTTCCAGTAGCGTAGAAATTATATTAAAAATAGGGGCAATCAAAGCCCCTTACGGACACCTATGATTGATCTATTTTCACAATAATTTGTAAAATTAGTTTCTTTCGTACATTTCATACTAAATATAAAACAAATGGCTTTTATAGTTTAAGAAAAAATAAAGACCAAAAAAAATTTTTACTTTCATGATCTTATAGGTACCTATCTCTAAAAGGAAGCCTTTGGAAGAAAAAGTGTATACTTCAAAATAATATTATTTTGACGAGATCTATCGATGGCTAAAGTCATAATCATAAAAAGTGAATCACACTGTGATAATATATGATTTTTTGCGTTTTTGACCAATATCTCAATGAAGATGCATTTTTTCGAAAAAAAAATTCAAATTTCAAAATTAAATTTCCTACAAAATTGATTCTATAAAAAATTTCGATTTTCCCAATAATTTTCCCGTATTCCAGTTTTTTAATGATGTACAGATTATGTAAAAATTAATATTTTGGAGCCAGAATAATGAACAATTCATTTTTAAATGAATGAAAGTGAATTAAAGAAAAGTAATTATGCGCATTTTAATATTTTCCAGAAAAATCTGTATTGTTTGAATTTTTTTACTAAAAAATAAAAATTTGTAATATAATGAAGTTGAAAATATAAATTTGATAACAATAGGAAAGAAATTTTCTGGAGCTGCAAAGGCATAAAAAATTTATTTTATTTACTTATTTATAATTAAAAAACAACTTTTTTATTTATTATTTTTTACAATTTTTTATGGAATTCAATAACGAGGTTTCTTATGTAAAACTGCTTAATCGCTGTCGCAGAAAAATTTCATAGAAAACAGATTATTCTATACCTATAAAATGATACGTTTGATGCTTATAAATATTCAAACCTGGGAAAACTATATAAGATTTTCCAAGAATTTTCCGCAATTTTCTTTTCTCTAATTCACTTTTGTTACTTAAAAATGAATTGAGCAATATTTTCCTTCCTTTACGAATTATAAAAATATATAATGATCTATTTAAAACTGCAAAAGACAAATGACGGAAGCTATTTGAGTAATACTGTAAACCATAAATTATGTGAATAACAGTTATTTTTATTTCGAAATATAATTTACAGATTTTACACTTTCGGCATTAATGCTAAATAGTACTGTCATAATAATGCGTCAAATTTTAAAAAGGTTAGAAAAAGAAACTGGAACGAAAATTACTATTTCGGCCCTTATGTAGGTAATGAACCTGTATGACGTACATAGGTTGAAAGACAGTGAAAAATTAAAACTGCATGCTAAATTTGATTGAAAGCGCAGCCTCTTGTTTGTAATTTACAAAACGAAAAATTACCGTGCTCGCGTTATGGAACACGAAAAACTGGTTATAATTCGCACATCAAAGTATTCAACGAGCAACACTAGTTTAAATTATTTTTTTATTTTTTTTTTATTTAGTTAATTTATTGTCAAATTTATATTCAATATGCACGTCTCATAAAATTTATGAAGAAATGATTCAATTTAAGCTCTAATATTGTCAGTATAATTTTTGTTATAATCAGTTCTACAAAATCTTCTACATACATCACTTTTTCCTCTGGATATTTACTGTAATGAGATGGAACACTAAATTTAACTCACATGTTAAAGAAATGGAATTAAAATATGACAGACAATTTAAATTCTGTCACAGAAGTCTTTAATTAAAAATAATTATTATAGGTAAAATAATTTCATACCAATAGCAGCAAAATGCGTAAAAAATTGTCTGCAATAATTAACCTTATTTGTTTTTCAGAGCATTTTTCTCTCTTAGCCAATCTGACCCAAGTTAACCCATATTTGAAGATTATGGTCAGTATGGGTGGATGGAACGAAGGATCTCAAAAGTACTCAGAAGTTGCGGCTGATCCCGCAAAGCGCAAGCTTCTTGCTGAAGAAGTCGTACACTTCCTTGAAGAACACAAATTTCAAGGGTTTGATCTCGACTGGGAATACCCAGGAATAAGAGATGGATCTGATGTTCAACATGACCCAGTGAGAAAATTATTTTTAAGTAACTATAAATCAAATCAGCAAAAAAACATAAAACAATAGACAGACATTGAGATTGCGTTAAGATTAGATTTCCTAGCTCCTGCATCCATTTGACATTATATTTTATAAATTGTATATTAACATAAATATTATTATTGCACTCGTAAATTGAATTTTCTAAACATTTATCTATTATTTCTTAAATAATGTACTGCATTTTTCAGGCAAATTTTGTGGAACTCCTTAAAGAACTTAAAACAGCTTTATATCCAAGAGGATACATATTATCCGCTGCTGTCTCTGGAGGAGTTACTAATATGGATATTGCTTACGATGTCCCTCTTGTGAGCGAGTAAGTCCCCTAGTCATTTCCATGTTATTCTTATTAGAGCTGTACGAAAATAAAAATAAATGTATGAGTGTTGTAATTGAAAACCATCTTTGCAGTTTAAATGAGAGAAGGTTGTGTTCTAACAAGATGTCAGATAATGATTTTCAACAATCTCAAAAATTTACTTTGATCTGAGAGCGATAAATACTGACTAATGAGTGCTACTATGGCTCACTTCTACACCGTCAATATATCGTTTGAGGCTATTTATGGATTCAGTTTTTTCTTTATTTATTTGGGAATTTCATTAATTTTTATTTCTTGCCCATGCGGCAAAGTAAAAAATAGTCAATATAATGCGCCAACGAAAAAGTTGGCAATTAATGTTTTATTTGTTTTAATTGTTATACGCGTTTATATTGTTATATAAAAAATTTTTATCACTTAAGGAATACTTAGCAACAAAGTAAACAAATTTTGATTTGATATAAAATTAACTTTAAGGGCGCCATATTCTTTAAATAGTGTTTTCCACAAAGACAAATGATTTCAAACATTTAATAACTGAATAATCTAAGCTTATCAAATAATAGGAATTTTATGTCATGCCATCTGGGTATTTTCAAAGACGCCGCAGTAAAATGAATAAACAGTTGCAAAAAACGATCAAACCATCAAAGTTTTAGGTACTGAAATCTACGAAAATACTAACTTTTTTATATACAACTCCACATGTAAATATTCTTATAACATTTACTTGCTTAGTCCTACATATAAAATTATTTACGTTTTATAACGTCAGAAATTTGATTATTTTTCGGCCAGGGATATGGCCACTTTAAACAAAATAGTCTTTTATCTTTTTAGTTGGCATATAATCCCCTTAGTCCAATACAAACAGAAAAAAAAAGTTCCTAAGTTAAAAATAGCTCGTAAAACAAACTCTATGACAGAATTTTACAGATGTGAAAAAAATTAGAGCAGAACTCGATCTAATAAATAATCATAGTCGTAAACAGGTAAAAAGTTTAGGCGGTCAGTGACTTTTATAACTCTCTTTTCTCAATTTGTGTTTAGATTTTTAAATTAAAATTACAAAAAAGTGTGACAATATGAGAAACAATTCGCAAATGCAAAATTTCAATGGAATATTTAAAAAATTTGATTTACTGATAAAAATCATAAACTTTGACACTCGTGTCTTAAAAAAAATCATCTAAATGAAAAATATGTGATTTAAAACTTGATTTACATAAACAAATATAAAATATCTTTCAGTACCAGTATTCTAAATTATTTTGTGTTAATTAATTTTTCAGTTAACATTACAATAAGCAGTTAAAAACAACTGATTTTTTTTATTTACTGTATCCTTTCGTAAATTTTCAGGCTATTGGATATAATCAACGTTATGGTTTACGATTTCCATGGTGCTTTCGAACCATTTGTTGGTCATTTTGCACCACTGACTGCATCGAGCAAAGATGATGCTGGAAATGCTACTTTGAATGTCGTAAGTAACGAAAGATGACATTGAAATTTTTCAGAGAGAAAAACTATCGTTTTTTATAGAAATCTGGTATCCAGCACTGGATAGACAGAGGAGCCGATCCAGCTAAGATGCACCTCGGAGTCGGCACTTATGGCAGAAGTTTTACTTTAGCTGATCCAAATAACGCAGAACTTTATGCTCCTACTTCTGGTGGTGGAAAATCTGGCCCGTACACGGGTCAAGACGGTGTCCTAGGTTATAATGAGGTAAGTTAAATAAATTTGTAGGTACCTACGTTAAAACATGATAATGTTTTTTAGAGTGCAAATACAAACATATATTCATACAAATATGAAACATTTTATAAAAACCAATATTTTTCTGGTAATTCCTTTTCCAATGTGAGATATAAAAAATTAACAAAGGCTAAAAATAGGTACGAAAACAAAGCAACTCTCAATTGTGTTTAGAAACCTAAATTATTAAACAATGTAGAGTAGAATCAGGTACAACGTATGAACCAATAAAATCATCTTTAAACAATATAGATTTATCAAAATTTTCGCCATTTGAACAAACACGCATTAATTACAACCATGAACTCAACTATAAAGTGTTTGACAACTCATTAAATATCCACTTACCAGAAAATAAAATGTGAAGTATTCTCTAAAGTAGGGAATAATTTTGCTTTACCTAAATGTATTCAATAATGCTTTTAGTACTAACCCTTCACTGTTTTTAAAGGAACGGATAGGTAACATTTAAAAAGCCGATTTTATAAAATACTAAACATTCAATTTTTCAATGAACTACTGTTATATACATATATCGTGATATTCTAATATTAATTTAATTTTATTTATTCAATGTCCAAATGTTCCTGGAGTTGATGTAAAGTATCTAGTATTTTAATTTGTCGTTAAAAAAGGTTTTTCGCAGATAAATAATAAAGAACGACAGAAAATAAAATTGTATTAGTAACTTGTTTAAATTTTATCGCTTAGACAAGAAATATGTGCATATTTCCTCTAAAATTAATGAAAAAGAAATCATTTACGTTATTTCTACAGACAATGCATCTACGGCCAGTGGCATCAAAGGATAGTAAAGTTAGAAAGGTGCTACAACTGACAATTTCTTCACTTGAAAATATTATTATTTTACTCATACATTTTTTTATTTAAACTGCATGCTTTTGTCTAATGCGTATGTTTTAATTCTGTAAATCATGTTAAGAAAGAAATTTGACATATTTGTGTATGACCTACGTTTGGAGAGTGTCATTATCTTTACCAATCCTGAGGTCGTATTGCAATCACATGATTGAGTCGCTATTACTGGTGTTTTTCATTTTATTAACAAAATAGTTGTACTTTTGAGCAAAAGTAACTTTAAAGGCAGTTTTCAAGTTAAGAAGTGGTCCGAATTTGTGTGAATTTATGATTTTACTATATATAACAAATTTAAAGTTTTAGTTAAATTCTGATCCCTGTAATTCAGAACCAACAACATTTTTCTTCCAATAATGGTTTTATTCTCTACATCAAACTTAGTTGCAAGTTGCAATGAATCTGGCATTGATATTTATAACCCTGTTTGTTGCACTTAAATTATTTCTTTCCAGATTTGTGAACTACACAGCGACTGGACCTACATTTGGGACGATGAACAACAGGTCCCTCATAGGGTGGGTGGCAATCAGTGGGTTGGTTATGAAGACGAAAGATCTCTCGCTCTGAAAGTTGAGTATGCCAAAGAGAAAAACTTGGGTGGTATAATGGTATGGTCCTTCGACACCGACGATTTCCGTGGTATTTGCGGAAGCGAGACTTACCCACTTATACGTACAATTAAGAAAACATTGATTAACTAATTTGTTTTATGTAAAAAGAAACAAAATAAAAGTATTATTGGCAGCATTATTATTATTTTTTATTAAAAACGGTAGCTATTCACTCATGACAAGTGTAACCATTGATCTATTTTAAACTAATTGTGGTGACAACACTCTATATGGAAGTTTGATATTGCTAAACGAATTGGAACGTTGGTAAAGTTAACATCATTCGTGTTACAGTAACAGCAACTCAATATTTCCGAGGAGAAAATCTGTTATTTACGTCTTCATGTCTATCATTACTATTAGCATCAGACTGCTCAAAACAATACAGATACGTCAGTACGTTGGTACCCATCTTCTTTTTATCCCACACTTAGGCATATCAGCAAGTTTCGTCGAATCATGTTGAGTATGCTATAAAGATAAAGCATACTCAAGAGAATTAAGCTCAAAACCTTACAGATATGGGCTGTTGCTTGACGTAGATGAGATATTAGTAAAAATCGGTCACAAATAATATATACAATGAAAATATAACGTTGCGCCAAGAAAAAAAGTTGTGCTATTTGCAATTAATAACTGCAAAAATACTCAAAAAATTTTTTTTCTAGCATTTTCCAATATAACTTCTTAAATATGCAGTATACAGAAAAAACTATTACTGATGGAATTTTTTGTTATGAAATTTGAAGATAGAATTATTTTGATACCTGCGCATATCATATTTTTGTTGCTAAATAGCCAAAACAACGTAAGAAAGTGATGAAAATCGAGGTAATTTGGAAGCGTCAAACTGGCAGGCAAGAAATTGTCAAATTCTACTATAAATGTAGACGTAAGTACTTTAAAGGATTGCAAAACGAAATTCCAAAACCCTATCCAAATCGGTCTAATAGTTTTGGTATGAGACAATTTGTTACTAAATTTCAGCGCGAAATGTCTATTTTTTTACGTGAGTGCTGGCGTTAAAATTAGGCATTTTAATTGGCGCTGATTTTTTTACACATACTTGGATCCCTTAACAATCATATAGAATCGTTATACTATCAATTTTCTTTTTTTGAATAGTTTTTGGAGCAATTTTAAAAGTTCGAAAAATTTTGACTTTAATAACAAATTCTTTCGTGGAGCGGTTTTGCGGGTTGGAAAATATACCAAAGTACTAAAAAGCAGTTCTCGGAAAGACGCTTAACTTGAAAAAAAGAATGTTCAAATCTGTCGTTTAAGTACAGAGATATCGAGTGTCAAAGTCAACAAACGTTAACTGCAAAACTATGCATAATGTAACAACAACAAAATATGAATTTGATAGGTTTTTTAAGAACTTTTCGTATCTGCCTTTATAAATATTATCGTACGCATGCTTTTTATATGAAAATTCAATAAATTTCGCCAAGCCGACCATTTGAGCTGCAAAACCGGGGGGAGGGGATGAATTATAGAAGTTGAAATCGCGCGTTCAAAAAAAGCGCGCGCGCTTCGGCGTTCAATATCTCGGCTTCTATGGCTCCGATTTTAATGATTTTTTTTAATCGATATAGCAAAATGAGAGGAATTCAATTATCAAGATTTCATTAAAATATTATAAAAGCCCTTTTCTGTCTATTACGACTATTTAAAGTTTCTCACATTTCATTGTTATACTGTATATTCATGTAAATAATAATATCGATGGTAGATATACCTACATAGTCCATTGTTAATAGGTATTAGGTTTAATAATTACATTAAAATGTTTAAATAAAATCTTGAAATTTTTATTTAATATGTAATTTATTTATTGTATGCATAGAATATAGGAAAAGATATAGATACAAATAATTATTTATTTATGTTTGTAACACGTATTTATTATATTTTCATAATCATCGTATTATTAAAGTTTTTTACTTTTTTACATCGTTGCTGTTTTCAGTTATAATATCAGCATTTGAATAAGTATCGTTTTCCATTATTTTCAAATCAGTGTTTAACTAATTGTAAGTAGGTACGGTACCACTGTCAGATTAACAGCAAATTACGACTTATGGTTGGTTATGGTTGGTTAATTTGATTTTTTAAATTTGCTAGCAATTTCATAACCATCCTCGCAAGAAATTGTATCATTTGATTTATCACAAAAACCTTCAAAAACAGAAAAATATGTATATGGAGGTATAATATGGATAGATATGGAGTAAATTTTTACAAGAGATTTTGATTAAATATACAGGGTGTCTCATTTAGAAAAACCGAGTTTTGGCGGTTCGGTCAATCAAATTTAACAATAAATATGAAATTGAAATAGGTTGAAGACCATTAGAATTAGAGATGGATATAGGGAAGCTTTATAAAAGTCCCCTAAAATTACGCGTAGAATCCAAACATGCAAAAATATACAGGATGTTCCATTTATAATAAGCAAATAGGTGGCGACTACCGGTATAACCGGAAGTACTACAACAATGGCATTATTTTACTTAACCTCGTTTTAAATAAAACTTCCAAAACCACCAGGTCTCAAATTTTCTAAATTCAAATCGAAGTAGTCTCCGAAATATTTTGGACCGTCACGGTATGACAGCCTGTAGAAGAAAATCTTGAGAGCGAAAACAGCAACTATGCTATAAAAAAGCGAAATACTTTAATAATGTGATGATACGTTTTATAAATATCAAACAATTATTTGTATCTGCATTTTTTTCTATATTATGTGTAAACAATAAATAAATTACAAATTAAATAAAAATTTCAAGATTTTAATAGTAAACAACAAGGTTTGAAAACGACTCTTTGCACACGAGCGAGACATATTGGTGGACCGAGCCGAAGGCGAGGTCCACAAGTCGAGCGAGTGTGCAAAGAGGTTTTCAAACGAGTTTTTTACGATACTTTTTATACGACTGCAAACAGAGACCACAAAAATCAAATTTTAATTTAAATCGTTTTTATTACTAAAATTGCCAACGCATTAACAAAATAAATTAAATACAACTTTTAATTTAACTCGTTTTTATTAAGAAAATTGCTAACGCATTAACAAAAGAAACTAATATTTAATATTTATGGTAACATTTGAACATTCCTTCAAGGTTACGCTGGGAAAAGCAGTATTATTGTGCACCTTGTTTTCGGTAATAGAGAATATTTTTGGTGTCGTGTTTTTAGTGCAGTTTTTCAGCGTGCGGTCGTTGTTTTCTTGTTGTATTCCAGTAGACGATCGTTGTTCTGGTTCTGTGGCAGCAGAAGACACTGAAGACTCTATCTTTTTCGAAACTTCCATTTTATTTCTCAAACAGTCATCAACGTAGCCTTCGGCAACTGTACTGGATTTCCACCCTCCATGGCGTTTGAGGGCAAGCAGATTTGAGCCAGAATTGACTAAAATTGTGGCCGATGAACGCCGAAAACAATGTCCCGTGTAACTTTCTGGATTCTCTAGCATCAAAAACTTGGCGATTTCCCTAGCCATGTTTCCAATTTTGTTGATGCCAACGTTTTGGCTTGAACATTTTCCGTTTTGATAGTTTAAAAAAAACCTGCCTGTCTTCAGATTAGGAGGACGAAGAGCACAGTACTTTTTTAAGATAGTGTAAAGGTTTCCTGTAATTGTAAAACACCTTGGTACCTTTGTTTTTGTATTCTTCAGTTTAATCAGCATAGCACTGCCGAAATCTTTGGTGTCTTCTATTTTGAGATAACATAATTCCTCCCTTCGACATGCCCCAGATAGTCCAACTGCCACCACCGCCTTGATAAGTAAATATTTGTCGTCTGATGCTTTCGTCAAAAACCGGCAAAAATCATCTTCTGTGAGGATTTGGGACTTCTTTGGGACGTAGTTTTCGGATTTTCGTTTGATTAGCGCTTGCAACTTTTTATAGCTTCCAAGGTCTATGCTGTGATTGCCACTTAACGTTGACTTGAGCAAATCGTCCACAACGTCGAAGATTTATATTTCTTAGGTAGTTCTTCAAATTACACCATTACTGCGTTTTCTGATAAAGTTTGGACATTTTTGGCTAGTCGCCAGTCCATAAATCGGCTTAACTCAGCTTCATACCTGCTTCTGGATTTTGTGGGCAGCAGTTCCGAACATATTTCGCTTGCTTTCTGTAAAATCTTTTCAGAATCACACATTTGCACACCCAACCTTCGGGAATTCAACAATTTTTGAAGTATATAATCAACAAAATAAAGGAGCCGTGACGGTTGCTATGAAACTCAGCCAACTTGAAACATTGCATAATTTAGGTGACAACATCAAACAAAAATCACAATCTGGAGACGCGTGTTCAAAGATGACATAACCGTGTGCAAAATATCGTTTTCAGAGCGTGTTTTCCGTGCGCAAAACCCCCTTTTTGCAAGGCAGTCGTATAAAAACATCATTACAAATTATTAAAACTAATACCTATTAACAATGGACTATGTAGGTATATCTACCATCGATATTATTATTTACATGAATATACAGCAACAATGAAATGTGTGAAATTTTAAGTAGTCGTAATAGGCTGATAAGGCTTTATAATATTTTAATGAAATCTTGATAATTGAATTCCTCTCATTTTGCTTTTGATTTAAAAAAAAAATCATCAAAATCGGAGCCATAGAAACCGAGATATGGAACGCCGAAGAGAGCACGCTCTTTTTGAATTTCAATTTCTATCATTCATCCCCTCCCCCTGGTTTTGCGGCTCAAATGGTCGACTTGGCGATATTCATTGAATTTTCATGTAAAAAGCACACGTGCGATAATATTTATAAAAGCACATACGAAAAGTTCTTAAAAAACCTACCAAATTCATATTTTGTTGTTACATAGTTTTGCAGCTAACGCTTGTTGACTTTGACACTCGATATCTCGGAACTTAAGCAACCGATTTGAACGTTCTTTTTTTCAAGTTAAGCGTCGTTCCGAGAACTGTTTTTTAGTACTTTGGTATATTTTCCAACCCGCAAAACCGCTTCACGAAAGTATTTGTTTATAAAGTCAAAATTTTTCGAACTTTTAAATTCGCTTCAAAAATTATTCAAAAAAAGAAAATTTTATAACGATTCTGTATGATTGTTAAGGGGTTCAAGTATGTAAAAAAAAAT